CGCAAAGTTGCAAATTAAATTCTGGCAAGCAGTCTTTGTGGCACACATAATGAGCAAAATCTTCAGAAATACGAACTATCTCCTACAACATCCACTCCCCTTTCCTTCTATTTATTCCCCAGCCAGGGAGGGGCTATTCAGCGTTCACACATGCTTTGCTTCCTGAGTCGACTCCTTGACTCTCCTAACTGCTCTGTGCATACGTACATCTGGAAAGGCTCCATCTGTTCTTCCTTCTCACTCATATTAGCTTCTAAAGGCAGCTGCCTTTCTCGTGGTTGGGAAATGTTGAATGGCATCCATCAAAGCCTTGCCCAGACTCCAGAACTGGCCCAAGTTCCTTCCCAACCTCCTCATTGTCCGAGTTTGCTGCCAGCTGGCGGGCCATAACACAGCCTTCCCACAAACACTGCCATCTCCTGAGAAGCCTTAACCAACTGGGGAGGGACAAGAGCCCAGATACATGACAAGGTCATAGAAACAACAACCCTATCTACTTCTCAACATCAACTGGCTCAAACTCTCCCAACTAACAAAGTGAGTCGTTTCCATAGAACCTGCCCAGTCAAGTTTACTTCAGTAAAGCCAAGTACCTTTGTCTGACAGGGGGTCTACAGGGGCTCTTCTGTCCATTCCTTACCTAGAAGAGTGCTAGTCACCTAGAATAAAGCTGCTGGTTGTCTGTATGCAGCTACAACAAGAGCGAAGAAATGAGCTTTCTTTGTCCTGATAAAGACAAAGTATGTCCTAATAAAGACTCCTTCCTGTGCCTGTTGTAGTGGTGGGATTCAGCCAGTTCGCACCTATTCGTGAGAACCGGTTGTTAACTTTCCAAGCAGTTCATAGAACCGGATGTTGGAAGAAATCTCCTTTTGCTTTTTTCCACTTTTCAGGGCTATTCCTGTAAGGAAGGCAGGAAGGAAACATTATGGTGTTGTTTCTAGCCTAATCTTTATTGCCCTGCTTAAAGAAACTGCCTCTCTGGTTAACCCTCATTACATTGTAACAGCTAAGGCGAAGCGCCCATCAACCTGAGTGATATTGAGTTGGCCACGCCCACATGGTCACATGACCACCAACCCATACCTACCCACTGGTCATTAGGGCAGAGAACCCGTTGTTAAATTATTTGAATCCCAACACTGGCCTGTTGGTTTGTAATCCGCCAGCAGTGTTCTCGTGCCATTACATCTCCTGAAGACCCTTGACAAACTATAAGGATCTAGTGGAGCCACAATCATAGAGGCCACAAAATCAGAGTAGTGA